CAGACCAAAACTACAACCATGAGACCAACACCATAACCGTCCAGACCAAAACCATAACCGTCCAGACCAAAACTACAACCATGAGACCAAAACCACAACCGTCCAGACCAAAACCATAACCGTCTATACCAAAACCACAACAGTCTAGACCTAGACTAAATCCATAACCGTCTATACCAAAACCACAACCATCTAGACCAACACCATAACAGTCTAGACCAAAACCACAACCGTCCAGAACAAAACCACAACAGCCTAGATCAAGACCACAACCGTCCAGACCAAAACCATAACAGCCTAGATAAAAACCACAACCGTCCAGACCTAAACCATAACAGTCTAGACCAAAAACACAACAGTCCAGAACAAAACCACAACAGTCTAGATCAAAACCACAACCGTCCAGACCTAAACCATAACAGTCTAGACCAACACCATAACAGTCTAGTTCATAACCACAACCATCTAGACCAACACCATAACCGTCTAGACCAAAACTACAACTATGAGACCAAAACCACAACCGCACAGACCAAAACCACAACCGTCTATACCAAAACCACAACAGTCTAGACCTAGACTAAATCCACAACAGTCCAGACCAAAACCACAACCGTCCAGACCAAAACCATAACAGTCCAGACCAAAACTACAACCGTCCAGACCAAAACCATTACCGTCTATACCAAAACCACAACAGTCTAGACAACAGTCTAGACCTAGACCAAAATCACAACTATCTAGACCAAAACACAACTATCTAGTTGGTCCTAAAGCATACGTACACGTAATCGAAACCTTTTAACATATTAGTTTAAACAGTAACTGAAACACCTCCCTTAGGTCAGGTCCAAAAAATACCCTTCTTGTCCTAAAGCACACCTGTCTTGACCTAACGTATGTACGTCTAGTCCATAACATTACTCTCTACTCTTTAAATATATCCGTTTATCTAAAGAGTAGAGAGTACTGCTATGGACTAGATTGTATTGTGGAAATATATCCGTTTATTTCCACAATACAGTCTAGTCCATAACAGTACTCTCTAGTATACTCTTTAGATACATCCATATATTTCCACATGACAGTCTAGTCCATAAACTACTTCTCTCGTCCTAAGGCATCGCCTGACCTACCCCACCCCTCCCTCATTTCTGTACAAAACATTTGTCAGGACATGTACAGATGTCCTGCAGTATATTGTCCTCGGTCGAGGTCAAAGCCCCGGGCTATAATCGCATTATAATTACTCTCATTACGTAATAGAATTAATCTGCTGTTATATGAAGGACAGATCTAGAGCTAACACGTTTAACAAGAATGTTTCACAATTTCAGATCCCATCGTGGCAATGACTTCACTTCACACTCAAGATGATTTACAAAACAGGGGAAGAAAAGTGGTTTTATACCAACGTTATCATATCGATATTGAGGGGGGGGGGGGGGGAATAAATTATTTTTTTGCAGAAGTAGTTATCATGATCGGCGATGAAAGATAAGCGCCGGATTACCTGTTCCAGCCTTGTCGTATCAATATGTTGACTAAAGTATATAAACAAACGTAACACCAATATCCTACATACCGTTTTATTTATTTTTCATTATCTACTGACAAATATATCCATACCGATTTTTTCTCATTCGAAAATATACAATGTTGACATACACAAATGGCTGTTATCACGTACGCCGTACCACAACAGTAGCCAACCTTCAAAATAATGGATGGGTCAAAATCGATCACCGCTCTTAATTCTATTCAATAGACTTACCTGTCTGACGTATGTGCCCAACTAATGACGCACGCGGTGTATTCCAGCTTACCTGTAATTGAGGTCAGAGGTCAGTCGTGTATTATCTATATCCAATATCTATAGTAGCGGTACGTACTGTTCTGTGACATGTGTATAGATGGGAAGCAAAGGGATGAAGCTTGTCTCCTGTAACATGTAAATAGGAAGCACACGAGTCTTTGTGAAAAAACTATAACACTGTAGACATTATGACATGTCACAAGTCTATAACATATGTAGCGTCTATTGTTAAATCTATATGACACGTGTAGATTTTATGGCATGTCACAATGCATGTGTTGAATCTATGACATGGCATACATTGAGTCAATGGTATATGCTGAGTTTACGACATGTAGTGTCTATGACATGTGTAGTTTATGACATGTGTTGAGTCTATGACATGAGTCGAGTCTATGATATATGCTGAGTCTACGACATGTAGTGTCTATGGCATGTGTAGTCTACGACATGTAGTGTCTATGGCATGTGTTGTCTATGGCATGTGTAGTCTATGACATATGTAGTCTATGACATGAGTAGTTTTTGACATGTGTAGAGTCTATGACATGTGTAGTCTATGACATGTGTAGTCTATGACATGAGTAGTCTATGACATGTGTAGTCTATGACATGAGTAGTTTTTGACATGTGTAGAGTCTATGACATGAGTAGTCTTTGACATGTGTAGAATCTATGACATGTGTTTATGACATGTGGAGTCTATGACATATGTAGTCTATGACATGTGTAGAGTCTATGACATGTGTTTATGACATGTGTAGTCTATGACATGTGTTTATGACATGAGTAGTCTATGACGTGTGTAGAGGCTATGACATGTGTTCTGTCTTTGACATTTGAGTGACACGTAAAAAAACCCATGATGGGTATTATCAAATGCTATATAGGGAATTTACTCGCTGTGTCAAATATGAAGTCTTGGTTTAATTAGGTAGTTTAATGCAAGTGATATGATGAGATAATTAATCTCATTAACTGAAAAGTTTTGTTAGAATTATACTTTATTTATTTATAATGATGATAATCACGCTGTTAATTGTGCCGACGATGATTATACAAGGAAATATTAAGACAAATGTAATGGAATGAACGACGACACCGATATCCAATCAAATGAAAGGTTTTATAAGGCTAAATAATGATATAACGGTAAATAGTTAACACAGAAACAAAATGGAAAAGCTGAATAGTGTATAACGGTAAATAGTTAACACCGAAACAAACTGGAAAGGGTATATAAGGCTGAATAGTGTATTACGGTAAATAGTTAACACAGAAACAAACTGGAAAGGGTATATAAGGATGAATAGTGTATTACGGTAAATAGTTAACACAGAAACAAACTGGAAAGGGTATATAAGGATGAATAGTGTATTACGGTAAATAGTTAACACAGACAAAAACTGGAAAGGGTATATAAGGCTGAATAGTGTATAACGGTAAATATTTAACACAGAAACAAACTGGAAAGAGTATATAAGGCTGAATACTGATATAACGGTAAATAGTTAACACAGAAACAGAATCGAAAGGCTGAATGGTGTATAACGGCAAGTAGTTAACACAGAAACAAAATGGAAAGGTTATATAAGGCTGAATAGTGTACAATGGCAAATAGTTAAACTGGAAAGGTTATATAAGGCTGAATAGTGTATAACGGTAAATAGTTAACACAGAAACAAACTGGAAAAGGTATGTAAGGCTGAATAGTGTATAACGGCAAATAGTTAACACAGAAACAAAATGGAAAGGTTATATAATACTGAATAGTGATATAACGGTAAATAGTTAACACAGAAACAAACTGGAAAGGTTATATAAGGCTGAATAGTGTATAACGGTAAATAGTTAACACAGACACAAACTGGAAAGGCTAAATAGTGTATAACGGCAAATAGTTAACTCAGAAACAAAATGGAAAGGTTATATAAGGCTGAATAGTGTACAATGGCAAATAGTTAAACTGGAAAGGTTATATAAGTCTGAATAGTGTATAACGGTAAATAGTTAACACAGAAACAAACTGGAAAGGTTATATAAGGCTGAATAGAGATATAACGGTAAATAGTTAACACAGAAACAAACTGGAAAGGTTATATAAGGCTGAATAGTGGATAACGGCAAATAGTTAACACAGAAACAAACTGGAAAGGTTATAAAAGGCTGAATAGTGATGTAACGGTAAATAGTTAACACAGAAACAAAATGGAAAGGTTATATAATACTGAATAGTGATATAACGGTAAATAGTTAACACAGAAACAAACTGTAATCGAGTAGAAGAAATGACGACGACGACGATGATACGATGATGATGATGATGATGATGATGATGATGATGATGATGATGATGATGATGATGATGATGATGATGTTGATGATGATGATGATGATGATGATGATGATATGATGATGATGATGATGATGATGATGATGATGATGATGATGATGATGATGATGATGATGTCAACGCTGATGTATGGTGCAGATGACATTTATAAATACATTGCTAATGATGGTAATGACGACGACGACACATCCGTGTATCTAATTAAACAATTGAATTATTATAGTGTACACAATTATTTTAAACATTTTTTTGAGTGTACACAATCAAATCATTGTAAAAAGTTATTCTAATTTATATACAAGCTTTGAGGTCAACTTCACTTTTGTAAGACCCTCTCAAAAAGTAATTGAAGATTAAACTTCCTTGTATAAGTACTTATATGTATATGAAGAGCAAGTTAACTTTTAAATCTGCATTATATTTAAACATAACACAATCGTGATACAACATTAGGTGAAACATAAATAGTCAATGAAAGTATACCATTGCATGATTAAAATTATAAACAAAATCACATTCATATCACATTTTATTTGAAGCCGTGAATACCACGATGTTGATGATAAAACTGAAGTTGCCTAATGTTAATAATGTAAATATATTACTTTGTATAGACCTTGTATTACATTTCTATAATCTCTTCTGAATAACCGTGGCATTTATTGTGAAAAGAACGAATTAAACATGTTCATACTTAAGTAATAAAATAAAAGAATCAATTGTATTGTCATTTTCCATGAAAAAAAGGGAATGTTCATACATAAAGATAAAGGTTTGTACAGATTTTTTTCCAGCTTTGCGCATGCGCACAACCCCTGTAGCATATTCCTTTCCATTACCAGGACTTCCGTGACTGCCTGCCAATTATTTGGAGATGGTCTGGTACTCTGTGGCCTGTGTAACTGTGTTTTGTGTTTACACGGGACGACTAAATCGCTAGGAGGCTATACTGGGTCCACCTAAACATCGCCTATGACGGATTTTACCATCCACGATGGCAAACGTATTCAATGGATCCTTGAAATTAAAAATTTGCGAAGCAGTTGACTTGAGGCCGACTGACTTCGCTACGCGATTGAATCTGGGTGGTACGAAAAACGTGCAGCTCATTGATCCCTATATAGCGATAGATGTGGACGACCAACCTATCGCTAAAACAACCACAAAACCCAAAACGTTGAAACCAGTCTGGAATGAGGATTTCAGCTATTCTGTTCACAATGGGCAGACTATTGGACTTACAGTATTTCACGATGCCGCGATACCACCCGATGAGTTCGTGGCCAACTGTTCTCTGACATTCGAAGATGTGAAAGGGAGACGCCGAGATTTGTGGGTATGTATAAATTGTTGTTTTATTTCACACCATTATTACCGGCCTATGTTGTCCTAGGTCACCGCACGAGCCGTCTGATTGTGCACCGTACATAATTCTCCTTGGATGTTGATTTCCAAGATGGAGGCACGGGGAAACTGAAGCGAGGACTCCTATACAGTTTTACCGTTGTCTCGGGTTTTGCTATTTACCAATACGGTCATTAATATTGTTTGTAATGCTCTATGATATTATAAAGTGTGAGATAAACGCGATGTGGTGCTACGTTTTGTAATGCTGCTATCCCTTTTCCAGGTTGACCTAGAACCCAATGGGAAGATACACGTCGAAATAGAATTAAATGGATCTTCGGGAGGAGGTAAATATTCCTATGATTTTCCATATCATTAGCATATATTCTTATTTATTAGCTCTATTTCGACACTTCATCGCACACTAGGTACACAACCCACCCATCACAGGAAAGAGTTGTACACAAGTGCTACTGCATTTGATGAGAACATGGATGCAAGTTCTACAAATGACCTGCATAGCAGAAGATGCTCTAGCCTATGGGTCTGTGACGTCGGTTGGTTTGTCGCAACAGAATCACTCGCTTATGCTAATGAGTTTTCTTGCTGTATTCCAAGCAATACAGACCCATACCGTTCAATACTGGCAAATTCTGTATGGCTGAGGACCAAATATAAATGAGTTGTATTGAAAATAGGTCTTTCTTTTTTTAGAAATGAAATGGAATGTGTTCGTTAATATACAGGAGGCTGCATGTTGTAAAAACACAATTCATGTTGCTATGCAATACACTATTTAGATATTACTTAGTGTATGATTTATTTATGTAATAGTCATTTAAGAATTAAATTGATTTTTTTGTATGTTGTATTATGGTAAAAAGTTCAAATCGAATTGTTCGAATATTAATCTTGTTATATAATTACCACATGGATAATGCTTAAAATTGTTTTATCAGAGTGTATGGGAATAGAAGATTGCTTTTATTTTGATGATGAATTTGAGACAGTTTTAACTTTAGTCTGACTTTTATCATACAATTAATTTAACTAATATATTGTGATATATATGTAAAATCACATGAGTAATAAGAGAATGTTTTGACAAAGCTTTGCTTATTTTTATTACCAGTTATCTAATTAACAGTAATATTATGGTCTACAATGTAACAAAATGAAATACAATGTAACACAGAGAAAGACAATGTAGCAGATGTGTATTATATATTCCTACCCCTGCACATTCTACATTGTTGAACATTGTTTGTATACAGTGTAGAACTTTATACACACATACATGTATATACACTGCTGTTCTTGATTGAGTTCCCTCTTCAATGTTTACATTTGTATATTTGCTGACTTGCCTATTAATTTTATTTGCTATTTTGCTCTAGAAGCAAAATACATGTAGACTGCACAGATAAAAATAATCCCTTATGCAGTGAAATAATTTTACTAGTCTTGTGTGTTTGCTTATAAGATTCAGATTGTAAGTGAATGCATATATCTGTTTACAAGTAGGGTTTCCGTAGTGTACTATGTACGTGTGTGACCTCTTTGTATGTGTGTGTATGTGACCTGAGCTTTATCATTCCCAGGAGGTCACACTAACATGTAAATAGCTATATAGGTGACCTATATTAAGCGGTTTACGCTACAGAAATGTACATATAGTCGTTGCTACATCACTAACACTTCAGAGATGTATAGTACTGAATTATGTATGAAAAATTGCCAGCGATGCATGCCCATGTGTGTATAATCCAGCTATAGTACCTATTTCCTGACTTGTACACATACATACATGTAGAGGACATCCCATAGCCAATCATTATCATTACGGACCCACTGTCCCGAGTGTGGTTTCTAAGTATATATATGTCAACAAGCTATATTGCCTTAGCAGCCACTGAAATTTACTTGTTTACCCATAACAATAGTGAAAGGGAGGAATCGATAATACAAATTCTAGACTGCACTATTAGTTTTCTTAACTTAGAGAATGATTTATTTTCTTATTTATACATAAATTATTCATATTTAGAAAGTGAATGTTTTCATATGGGTTAGAGTAAGAATAGACCAAAACGATGTAAAACCATGTTGGAGGTGATACTATTTCAAAAGAAATGACAATAGAAAAATAAATAAACAGAACAGATAAGGTAGCTTAACTACGACATGTATATATTTCAAGAACAAATTGAACACAGTCATTCTTGGTTTGGTGTCTTTGCATGAACTGACTATAATTGGATAAAGCATTCATGCATGTATGATACACCCACTTGTGTATAAAACAGTAATTTATGATGATTTAAGACCTCATCTCTTTGCCTTCAGAGAATACATATTGAAGTAGGTGAAAAGTTATTTTTTGTGTGGGCCACTAGAGTTAATCTCTAATGTAGAATTTGTAGATACATGTATCATGTATGTACACATAATAGCAATACATTGACATATATACAAAGAAATTGCATTGATATAGAAAAGCAGCTATCAAACATGATATCTATATAATTAATAAGTGTTTTTCTAGGAAATATATGGACCTCAAATTATTTTTTAAGTCATCCGCTATATTTGAGTGTTTCTACGTACATTTACATGAAACAAGAAGAAAGTTTCAAATGATTGTTATAAGTACTAATTCAGGTATTGAAATATTTTTCATATACCGGTAAAAACATGAGTATTATACTAACAGTCATGCTAGTTAGTCGTATAAATCATTACATTCTTACCAGTAAAATATTATACAATTATGGACTTCAGGTGCGGTCTATCCCTGATTTACGAACCTGGTCTGAACAATATTCACAGAGGCCGAAGGCCGAGGTAAATATTTTTCAGACCAGGTCCGTAAATCAGTGATAGACCAATACTGAAGTCCGCATTTGTTTAATTATATGACATTTTACAATGGGATTAATTGTGTTTCAAGTCATAAACATGGATTGCATGGACCATTTTGGAATCACAGAGTGAAGGACTTCAAATACAAAATAGTATACACACAAATTTCATTTCAGATTCAATTCATGTGATATTTGATTTCAAGTAAATATTATTTGCACAATCGACATCATCAATTTTCACATAGTTTAGAATTTGATGAGATAGTTCATGTTTAGTTGAATTCAGTAGTGTGATTGGTAACAGATCATAATTACAGACTGGCTGGGAAATTACCTAGGTCTATTTTTAGTAGCGGTCTGTAACACTTTTCTATTTATAGGTTGAGGTCTGTATCATATTTACAGACTCGTCACATGACGTCGCTCCTCCAATCAGGGCTGGGAAAAATAGCACCAGTCATATAATAAACGTTTTACTGTTAAAATAAAGTTAATATTTTTTACTGTAACAAGTATTACTGTTGTTTTCACACTAAACTAATATAACCAATCAGAGAGCAGAGTTTAGTGTGAAAAATAACAATGGGTGTTGACAATTGTACATGTGACTTCACTGATATTGTAATGTTTAATTATTGTGATGTTGAAATATAGAGTTTACCGAAAGAGTAGGGGTTTATAGTTATCATGGTTATCTAACTTGACAATTACCTGTAGTTAATTGTCAAGTTCTACAAAAGACACAAAGTTTGCTGAGTGTCTTTTACAATTTGAAAATTAACTAACAAGAGTTTGATATGGGACCAGTCTCTCCCATAACAATTGTATTTTATCAGGCAAACCACATGATGCCTTTGGATAATATATTATGTCTGTTTCTGATGGGGAAACAAATTGCCATGGATCATTATCACAATGTCACAATGGAAGATGACGCCGCAATGTTACTTGACATTATTATTCAAAGATTGACCAATGAAATCACATCTAGGGTGTTACACAATATATAAATATGACATTCATTAGCAGGTGACAGTGAATATTGTCAACCCTCAAAAACCCATTGTCACCCGAGGCGACAATGGGTTTTTGAGGGTTGACAATATTCACTGTCACCTGCTAATGAATGTCATATCTATTTTGTTACACCAAAAGTCTTTGTAGCTCAGAAACGGCAGCAAACCTTGATTATGACTTCTTGTTTGTTGATAGTCTTCTGTTTACAATCGCGATCGCACCGGCGCTTCATAAAATTGGCTGTTGCTGTCAAACGTTCTTGTGACCATCACGGTGGGGAAACGAAGCGGTGAATGCACATTTTTCGCGCATGTGATATTTTTCACTGTCTCATGGCAATATCACCCGCGCCCCTTAAAACCAATGTATTTTCGAAAGGTGACAGAGATTTTTGTTTAATTTTCTCCCAACCAATCAAATATCTAGAAATTCACTTGAGGTGTAACAAATATGTATATATCAGATCTGAAAAGTCTGGTGTAAAATTTAATGGGAAGGAATAGAAGTGAGGATAATTATAGTAATTATAAACTACTTTGTTGGAATCATTTTATTTTGTAACCATAGATGGATATTCATCACTACAGTTGTGATCAAGAGCTGAAGAACTACACTTTCCTATCATGCTGTCAGAGGCCTTTTATGCTTGTCATTATTCCAGATTGATGTGTTTCATTCACCTACAAATTAAACCAGAATACATACAAGTCTGTGACTTTTAAAAATGAACATGGCATATCTAAAGTACACTGTCATCCGTATTGGCAGTTTATATACTAACCATTATTTGAATCTTGAACACATTATAGGAGCTCCATACTGCCTGATGTCTTGCATTTGTAATCCTGTTTACCTGTCCTTTAATCCTCTATTAGATGTCAATAGTATTATCAGATATACCATCCTGTTAGTATGTCAAAAGTATTACCTGATGTCTAAGTATTATCTGTCTTATAATCCTCTATGTCAATAGTATTGCCGGATGTTTTGTAATCCTGTATGGTATCAGTAGTATTGCCCAATGTCTTATAATCCTGTATGGTATCAGTAGTATTGCCCAATGTCTTATAATCCTGTATGGTATCAGTAGTATTGCCCAATGTCTTATAATCCTGTATGGTA